AGGGAATGAGCCGGTAGAGAGGGAGAGACTGAAAATAAGTAATAAATGACAGAGATGGGGATGACAGAGGGGGCAATCTGTTGGAGGAGATGGGATGAAATGGGATCACTTGAACAAATAGAGAGGTTAACCCTAATAAGGAGTAAGGCCACGTCGTCATGTGAGATGAAGGGGTGAAGAAGGAGAGAGTGGCAGAAAGCACCTGAGTGACAGGAGATGAGGACGAGGAGAATAGAAGGAGCTTATGGTGAATGGCCTCAAATTTTTTTTTTCTATAAAATATGAGTCAAAGTTCTCAGCTGAGAGAGTGGGGGGAGGGGGAACCATGGGAGGTTTCTGGAGGCATGAAAAGGTTTGGAAGAGCTGCAGCAGAGAGTAAGAGTGTGAGCTGATAAGGGAGGTATAGTAAGATTGTCTAGAAGCAGTGAAAGCCCAGTTGAGGTTATGTAACATAAGTTTATAGTGGACTTAGAACAGTTGTATAATTTTCTCCAACTTGGTTCAGCAACATATATGTAGGAGTGAAGATGATGCATGGTGGCAGTGATCCAAGGCCGAGGCTTGGCTGGCCATAATCGGGGATATGGTAAGGGGACTAAAGATTCAAAAGAGAAAGAGTGTAGAATTAAATTGGTTCACCAAGAAGTCAAGATGGAGAGAAAAGGAAAGAGTGGCCATTGCAGGAAAGATGGCTTGGGAGACAACTGAGAGGTCAGGGGATTGCAGGTCACAGTGCAGATAAAGAGTAGGGTTATGGAAAGGAAGGCAAAGGGAGAGGAGAAAAGCCAATGGCTGCTGATGGTCAGATAAGGGGATTTCAGAGTTCTTGATCATGACTTTATAATATCCCCAGGCTGCATGGTTGGGAGTCTTCCTCCAGCTGCCTTCAGTTAATTATTGAATTGTTGGATCTCACATCTCAAGCACAGAAAGTGAGTTTTCTTTCTTTCTTTTTTTGGGGGGAGGGAAATTCATTTATTTATCTCTTTATTTTTGACATTCATTTTGAAAAATTTTGAATTCCAAATTCTCTCCCTCTCTAGTCTCTCCCTCATTCATTGAAAAGGCAAGCAATTATACATGTGAAGTCATGCAAAACATATTTGCGTATTAGTCATGCTGAAAAAAAAAAGCATGAAAAATAAAGAAAGTTAAAAAAAAATGCTTCAGTCTGCAACCAAAGTTCATCAGTTCTCTCTCTGGTGGTGGATATCTTTTTTTTTTTCTTTATCATAAGATCTTCGGAATTTTCTTGGATCATTTTCATGGGATCTGTGGAATTGTCGTGGATCATTTTATCAATCAGAATACTAAGTCTTTCCCTGTTGATCACAGAATATTGCTGCTATTGTGTACAAGGTTCTCATTCTGCTCACTTCACTTTGTGGCAGTTCATATATAAAGCATTTTTATAAGGCTACCTTGAATGGTTAGGTGACCAGAGAGAGACAATAACTATATCTTCCAGTCTTGGCTGGAGAAGAATTTAGAAAGTGAGTTTTCTATGAGCTTTGGGAATGACTTAATTTCCCTAGTAAAATATAAACTCCTGGAGGGTAGAAAATGGTTTTTATTTCTTTTAATTTTGTTAATGGTGTTGAATTGTTTTTTGTTTGTTTGTTTTTTTATTTCTGGTGAGGCAGTTGGGGTTAAGTGACTTACCCAGGGTCACACAGCTAGTAAGTGTTAATGTCTGAGGCCGGATTTGAACTCAGGTCCTCCTGACTCCAGGGCCAGTACTCAATCCACCGTGGCACCTAGCTGCCCCTTTATATTTCTTTTGTATTCCCTATGCTTAGCATAATGTCTAATACAAAGTAAATACCAGGATAAATGTTGCCCTAATTTTCTAAAAGGGAAAAAGATTAGAACAGAGGTTCCCAAACTTATTTGGCTTACCACCGCCCTTTTAAAAAAAATCACTCAGTGCTCCCCTGGAAATCTACTTTCTTTAACCCTTTAATGTTTTTTTAAAATTTGCATCATTTAAAAATATAAAATTTTTTTTAAAAAATGACATCTTAAATTTAATAATTTATTGTAAATTTGTGAATTTTTTCTTTGCATTGAAATTTTGATGACACAATATTGTCATGTAACCATCTAGTATCATATTGTAAACAAGTCATTACATGCACATATTCCTGCAGATGCATGCTGGACTTCCCAACAACAGAGACACGCTCACCTGCCAGCACTTAACTTGTTAAGACTGAACTTGGCCACTAATCAGTTGAAACTTGCATTTTGTGAGTTTATTTGGAAAATTATGTAATCACAACAACTTTAACTCTGTTACACAACAGATGAAACATGTACAAACGCTTTTCAAAACTTTATCTTCTCTTCTTTTCTTATGCTTCCACTGCCTCTTTATTTTTATTCAACACCCCCTATTGCACCCCCCCCATCATTCCAGCACCCCTCCCCCCAGGATGGTGTTGCCCACTCAGGGAACCTATGGATTAGAGTCTGAAAATTGTCAGTGAAGGAATTTGACATTGATTCTTAGGTAAATTCTAGGATAGATCATTCAAGGTTTTTTGTTTTTGTTGTTTTTATATTTATATGGTACTTATTATGTGTCAGAGATTGTGCTAAGTGCTTTAAAATTATTATCTCATTTGAGATAATCAACAATCCTGGGTTATTAGCCCCCCATTTTACAGATGAGGAAACTGAAGCAAACAGAGGTTAAGTGACTTGCCCAAGATCACACAGCTGGTAAGTATCCAAGACCAGATTTGAACTCATTTCTTCCTGACCCTAGGCTGGGTATTCTATCCACTGTACCACCTAGTTGTCCCAATTATCCAAGTGATAATTAGTGAATGTCTAGTAAAGGGATCAGTGATTACAAACAGCCAGCATGTTTTCATTATAGCCACACCAGACTAACCTGATTTCCTCTTTGGGATAATGTTACTAACCTGGTTAATCAGGATGTTGCAGACAAATGTCCCTAGATTCAAGCTAAATATGGGACAAAATATTGCGTGCTAAGCATGTAAAGATGAGAGAGGTGAGCTAGGCAATTGGATAGATTCCAAGCTGGTTGAATGGTGAGACTCAAAGAGAAGTCATCAATGGTCCAATTTCAACTAGTGGCATGTCCAGGAATCAGTGCTTGGCCCTGTGCTATTTAACATTTTTATCAGTGACTTAGATAGAGATATAGATGGCCTACTCATTCGGTTTGCCGATGCCACCAAATTGGGAGGGAGAGCTGCCCATTGGATGACGAGTCAGGATACAAAATGATCTTGCCAGGCTAGAACAGGGGGCTAAATCATATGAAAGGAATTCAATGGGATCAGCATAAAGTCTTATGCTTGGATTCAAAAAATTGACTTCACAAGAACAAATTGGGGGAAGCCTAGTTTGTCTTTGTCTCTTGTCTGAGAAAAATAGAGGGCCTTGAGAAGGCTACGATTTCCACATGACTTATTAGGGTGTGATGGTGGTCAAAAAAACTAAAGCAATTGTAGACTGCATTAGGAATGATAATTCACCCACCAGGAAGGAAAGGCTAGTAGTGCTTCTCTCCTTAGTCCTCTGGAGGATTGGGTTCAATTCTGAGGGTCGCCGTTTAGGAAGGAACGTCCGGAAGGCAACTGGAATGGTCACTGTGTGCCTTGGGTCCATCTCATATGAGGACCATTTGATGGAAATGGCGATATTAGTCCAGAAAGAAAAGACTCGGGGAGAAATGGTAGCTGTCATTAAACATATGAAGGGCTAGGACGTGAAACAAAGACCACTCTTGTTCTCTTTGGCCCCAGCGAGCAGAACCAGAAGCAGTGAGTGAAAGTTGCAGAAGGGCAAAGTTGGGCTCGATGGCAGGGAAAGTTTGGTAGCAGTTGGAGCTGTCCAAAAGTGGAATGGGCGGCCTCAAGAAGGGTAGGTGCCCTCAAACTGGAAGTGCTCAAGCTGAGACTGGGGGACTGGTGGATGGGGATGCCACAGGGGGTATGCCTTTCGGAGGTGAGTTGGACTAATGTGCAGTGGAGGTCTCTTCTAATTCTAAAATTTGGTGATTCCATGAAATCTTCATTAAGCAACCACAGGCAGAACAGTGAGCAATGTACTTGGGATATGTGGTATTCACTCTTGGTTTTACAGTTTCACTGAGTAGGTCCTCCAGAGTCTGGCCACCCTACCTTCCAAGTCTTCACATACTTCTGCTGAAGTTGGACTCAGAGACCTTGAGTTCAGATTCTGGCTTGGCAGTTTTCTACTTGCGTGCCCTAGAACACATCATTTCAACCTTTCTGAACTTCTTGAAGGAAGTGGCACCTATCAGTTATCTGAGGTTAATGAAAATCCCTGGCTTGAAGGGTCATTGTGAAGATCAAATAGAATAATGCATAGATTAAAGCACATTGAAAACCTTAAAGTGGGGTATCCATTTTAGCGGTTTTTTTTAGTGTTCTCTCCCCCATCTCCACTTTCTAAAACATGCCTGTCTTACTTCATGGCTTGAGCTCCAATGCCAGATCCTCTCTGTAGATTTCCCTACTTCCTCCCTCTCCCTGTGCTGAGAATGTCTCCTGCTTTCTCCAGTCTTTCTAGTGCACTCTGTATCTATCTCTCCTTTGCCCTTATCACTTCATATCTGGTAATATACTTATCTGTGTGTCTGTCATATGCTTCAGCAGAATGTGAACTCCTCAATGGCAGACTGTTTTCTTTATGTATCCCCTGCACCTGGGCCCCTTGTACACAGTGGGCACTTAATGAGTGTTTGGGGTTTTTTTCCCCTGGAAAGGAAGGGGAGCCACAGGAATACAGCCTTCTTTATGTAGAGCTTTCCTTTCCCCTTTTGGTGCAGCTATCCCAATTTATAGAGAGAAAAAGCCAATGAGCCGTAGAGTGGCTGATGATGTGATTAACAGGGTCTAGATTTTTTTTAAGCTTTGGACTTAATAACTATTCATTGAATGTCTCCATAATTTTCTTTCACTGAAGGTACAGTTTGACTACTGATGTTTTTCCACTAGGAAATCATCTGACAACATTGCCTAATAGTCTCAATAATCTTTCGTCATTGAAGGAAATAAATTTTGATGACAATCCTTTGATTAAGCCTCCACCTGAAATCTGTAAAGGGAAGATATTAAATGTTATTGGACATTATCTACAGAAAGCTGAGGACAGAGATGGTAGGTGATGAATGAGTACTTTGTAAAAGTTATCAGCTGGGATGACTTTGTATATATTTTGTCCCAACTAATGGTCCCCCACCCTCTTCCCCTCAGGTCAATGTAAGCTACTCATGATGCAAAAACTGTTTCTTTGTGTATCCTCAGAGCCTAGCCCAGTGCCAGCTTGCACTTACTAATGCTTATTGATTGAATGAATGGATATATCATTTATAAATAACAAAGGTGGTAGTTGTTAGATATGTACCACCTCTTTCTAGAGGTCATTCCTGGTTTCTTTAGTTGTTACTATGTATTGTTGTTAATATGTATGTATTTATGTAAATACTTTGTATTGATTTTGTATGTATCCATCCCGTGCATATTTATCTATGTACATATATACATATGCATTCCAGTAGAATATAAGCTCCTTGAGGGCAGGGACTACCTTCCTTTTCTAATTGCGTCTCCAGTGGTTGGCACATAGTAGTAGGTTCTTTGTTGCTTGAATGACTAAGTGATAAAAATAAAGGGATCCCTATCTTTTCTGTGAGTTGAAAATATAATATCAGTAATTCTGGTCCTTAAGACAAGATCTGTACTAATAAGTACAAAAGGTAGAAGACCATCGTGCAGAAACAAGAATGATTCTTACCCACAAATCTTGCCTCTTGTTAGAGAAGTAGTGGACCATAGATGTGGAATATGGCCTATATCTTCAGATGCCAATGTGTTGGGGTTTTTCCTTTACTTCTTTGTTACAAGGAAGGATTCCATTAAGAGATGGCTTAGAAGATGGTCATTTGGAAGTGACAGCAGTGTGAAAAAAGAGTATCAATAAAATTTTTTTTTCTTGTTTTTAAAGAATGATTCCTTCCGTTCAAGGACCTCGCTGACACATTCACTGATTCATTTGAACTCATTATGGCTAGGCTCAGATTAGCCATCACTGCTCAGTTCTATGACCACCATAACCATAAGTCCTGTGTAACAGTCAGGGCAAGTGGCCTACAGAGAGAGCAGGAGATTGGACCCCTATGGCATTAAAAGTATTAGGTTCTGAGCCATTCTTGTCCAACAGTTGTAGCGAATAGACTAATACTTCCCAAAATAACATCCTTTTGGTTACAAATTTGATTAGCATAATATCCTGTGCAAATTTTCTATTGCTGCTGCCTATCCCTCAAAGCTTTTTAAAAAGATGTATTTGGTATTTTTTTTTTACATTGTTGTCATTTACTGATGCCACCCCCATTACTCCATCTCATACATCCTCTCTGTCTCTCTGTCTCTGTCTCTCTCTCTCTCTCTCTGTCTCTCTCTCACACACACACACACACACACACATCCTTGCCTCTTGTAACAAAGAGGTACAGTTAAGCAAAACAACAGAACTTACTGAGCATGTGTGAGAGCATATGCCTCATTCTGTCCCTATAGTCCACCTCTCTCTCCTGAGAGGAGAGAATGTTTCATTAATGCTTCAGTTTGCGGGAGTTGAGATTGGTTGTTGCATTGACCTGAGCTGTGAAGCCTCCTAAAAGACTTTCAACAAGCATAATTATTATGGAATAAGGAGCTTTTGCCAGCCCAAATCATGAAAGGAGAAGAATGGGAGAGAAGGATAACTAGGCTGCTAAAGGCCACAGAAATACTATCATCTGATGTAAATCATAGTTACTTAAGCTCTTGAAGAGACCTGAGAATCAGTCTATTATGGCATTCAGAAACCTTAAACACCTGGTCCTTTCCTCTCCTCTTATAGATGTAACCCATAGTCCAGCTCCCTAAGAGATAATAGACCAAGTTCAGTCTTGGTTGCTGACCTCCATGTCTCTTTAGCTCATTGTGTCTCTACCCAGAGTTTGCTACAGGAAAATCTCTGGATATAGCTTGTGCATAGTGTGAAGATGGCTTATGTGTAGTTCTCCACATTTGTAGGTAAGTAGGTACTCAAATCTTGTATAAGAATTAGAGGTTACAAGGTACATACCTAGGATAGGATAGCTTTTGTTCTGCCTTACAGAAAATGCAATACACGTAAGAGGACTCATAATTCATAAACAATACAGCAAAACACATGCAAAATTCAAAGTAGCCAGGACCATAATCTTGACCATCCAATCTCTAATACAATTTACTGTTTTGAGACCTACTTAGAAGTCAGAGGAGCGAGGCATTGTACTAACTTTTGTTACCTTCCTCTGCTAAGAAAGAAATGACATTTGCCATCCAGTATTAGGGATTTTTATAAAGACTCATAAAACATTGCACTTAGTTTTTTAAAAATCATTTTTACCTGAACTTGACAAACTCTAAATAAAATGGGCATTTCCTATATACATAATGGAAGAGAAAAAGAGGATTATACGTGAAACTGTAGGCCACTGTTATATACAGCTTGCTTTTCTTTTAGGAACGTAAGTTCAACTTGTTGCTTTCAAAGCTATCCGGCTTGTTTGCACTTCTTTCTAGTCTTTCTTCTGTGCTCTTCTCTGTATTTTAAGATAAGCTGCTCAATGGTCCTCTTTCATTTCTTTTCTTTCCTTTTTTTTTTTTCTATCCTATCTCTTCTCATTCTCCTCAACCTCCAAAGTCCTTGTAAAAAATTGCATTTACATTCATCATCCACTTCAGAGAAGTCTTCTAAAATTGAGTCCTTGCTGAAGATCAGCTTAACCAAGGTGTTAAATGGAGAAAATGGAAAATTGAAGTAGTGGAGAAAGTTGGGAAGCAATGACTTTCAAATTTGTTCAGGGACAGTGTGAGCCGATCAGAGATTACTTGGGACAGAGAAGACAACTCTGTTTAAAGACTAGTAGAAAAATCATAAGACTTGAGAATCAGTATTCTGGCTCAGGCATAAACTCTGCGTGAATTTGGCCAGCCACTTAACCTCTCTATACTTCAAATTCCTTAGCTAGAAAATGGGGGCTTGGATCAGATTGTCTCTGAGGTATCTTTTAACTCTAAAGTTACATAATGATGATATTGCCAAGAGAAATTAAGCTGGGTCACAGGATGGTAGAAGCTGTCAATTAGTGACAGTTCTTTTTGTCTGAGTTGTTGCGAACATTAGAGATATGTGTGTTAATAAAAATAAAATACAGAAGCATTCCTTAGTAAGATATATAGGATGTTCATTTCAAATGGAAGATCCTTGTCAAATGAAGGTACCTTAAAATTTCCCTTGTCTTTATTTTCAGAGAAAATCTTGCAGAAATTGTTCAGGATAGTGTCTCGCAATCTATCTGGAGCGCAGTTCGAGTTTTTCTGCGAAAAGCTACAAATAAAGAAGCCCATGATTGATGTTCTAATGAAGAAGTACTTCTGCATACTAAGATTTGTAGTTCTCCCTTTCAATGGAAAACATGTGTCCACGTATACAAATGAGAATGCATGTAAAGTACTTGGCCAACTTTGTAATGCTAAATAAGCAGCAGCTATTTTGCGATGATATACATATATGAAATGCAGTGAGGTGGTGCACTGGATAGAGCACTGGGCTGGGAGTCAGAAAGACTCCTCGTCGTGAGTTCAAATCCAGCCTCATAAGCTTACTGGCTGTGTGACCCTGGGCAAGTCACTTCACCCTGTTTGCCTTAGTTCTTCATCTGTAAGATGAGCTGGAGAAGGAAATGGCAAACCACTTCAGTATCTTTGCCAAGAAAACCCCACAGGGGATCATGAAGAGTCAGATGTGACTGAAACAACAACATATATGCATATATATTACAAAAACAAAGTAAAAACAATTTATAAATTGATGAATTATCTTCTGTTTATATTGCAGATAAAAAAGCTAATTGCTTTTTGTTCACCTAACAGGTTGTGGTTTACTTACAGCTTATTAACAACTAATGTTTTGCATTCCACATGAATGTTTCAATTTCACAAATCTTGCTTACCAGGGAACCAAGCTCATTCACTACTTTTTTTTTTTGCTTTTTGGTGAGGCAATCAGGGTTAAGTGACTTGCCTAGGGTCACACAGTTACTAAGTGTCAAGTCAAGTGTCTGAGGCCTGATTTGAACTCAGGTCCTCTGACTCCAAAGGCGGAGCTTTATCCTCTACGCCACCTAGCTGCCCCCATTCACTGCTTTTAAGAGAGAAATATCTCTGCTCTAGATTATGGCTTCAGTAAACTAACATCTATCTTTTATTGTTGAAGTATGAACAGAAGGAGAATTCATCAATTTAATTATCATAAAAACTGGATAGTAACATTGTAATATGATGTTCCAGTATGGAAACATTTTCAGTAGCATATAATAGCAATAATAATATTGTACCTAATGTTTGGTAACTTGAAATTTTAAAGCAAAACTCCATTTGTCTTAGTACAGAGAAACAAGCAGCCTTGCTGTCAAAAGAGCAAATAGGGCTGTTCGGGCAGATTGGTGTGCTCTAACCTATACCCGGGACTATAGGTTCAGTCAAGGCATCAAACAGAGGCTATAGTACTCATATTGGTGATATGTGACACTGGTCCCTTACCCTTTTAATATGGCAATGCGAGAGACAGCTGTGTGACTTTGGTCGAGTCACTTCACCCTTTTTGCCTCAGTTTCCTCATCTGTAAAATGAGCTGGAGAAGGAAATGGTGAACCTCTCCAATATCTTTGCCAAGAAAACCCCACCTGGGGTCATGAAGAGTCAGACACGAATGAAATAACTGAACAACAAAAGAAACATCTCAAAAGTAACAAATCCAGAATAGAATTCATTTTCTTTTCCCCAAACCCTCCCCTCTTCTAAATTGTCTCTATTTCTGCAGAAGGCACCATCACACTACGCGTGCTTTAGGTTCATAACATTGGCCTTCTCCTTAGCTCCTCAATCTTCCTCAGCCCACATAACTACTAACTCTCATGCCTCCACACCGTCTCTTTCCATCTGACCCTTTCTCCCTGCACACACTCCCTTAGTCAGTCCTTCAACACCTCTTCCCTAGGTTGCTATGGCAGCCTCCTAATTGGTCCCCTGCTTCAAGTCCCTCACCACTCCAGGCCGTTCTACACCCTGCTGCAAAGTAATTTTCCTTCAATGCAAAACTGACCATATGACTCCTCTACTCAGTCAACTCCAATGGCTTCCTATTGCTTCCAGGAAAAGAGATGGATTTCTTGGTTTAGTTTTTAAAGCTCCTCACAACCTGGCCCCAAACCACCTTTCTTAACCTTCCCCTAACCCCACAGGCTTATTGTAAGGATCATATGAGATCTTAGTAAAGTATTCAGCACTTTTCCTAGCACATAGTAGGCTCTTAATAAATGCTTATTTCTTCCTTTCTTTCCCCGCCTCATTGGACATCACTCCCTTTCTCACTCCTGAAGCCAGCCAAAATGGCCTTTGTACACATGACATTCCAGCTCCCATCTCCATGGCTTTGCTCTGGCCATTCCCCTTGTTTGGAAAGCATTTTCTCCTTAAGTATCATCTTCTAGATGAAGCCTTTCCTGATTCCCCCAACTACTGGTGCCTTCTCTTCCAAAACACTTTGTATTTAATGACGTTGAATTTGATTCTATATATTTTCTTTATATTTATCCGATATACACATATACATATACACACACCCACATATATGGGTGCGTGTATCTCCTTATCTCCCCAGTTAGAATGCCAATTCCTTCAGAGTAGGAATTGTTTCATTCATTGTATCTCCATTCTGGGGGCCTAGCACAGTACCTGGATCATATCTGACACTTGCTGATTGATTGATGAACATTCTGCTCTTGCAAAATGTTGGATTGAAAAGAGAGGAGGAAGAGTAGGTAAATAGGCCTCTGGCAGTATTTGCTTAGCTCAGAGGCAGTTGTTTTTGGGCCTTAGTACAGCTCTCTGTGTGTCCTTGAGTTCTCTAGGTGTCACCGCCCAGAGTCCAGGCACTGAGAGCAACATTCAAGAGAAATCTGTGAAGGTCTTCGAATTTCAGATTTAGCTGCTATGTTTTGTTAAGGCTTCACTGAGACAAGTGCTAATTTTAGAGTGTTCTTGGTAAGGATAAAAAGTGGAGCATTTGAATTTAATGAAAATGTAGGCTTTGATTCCTATAAGATTCATATACTCAAGATATCTGCAGTAGTAGTAGTGGTAATAGTAGTAGTAGTAGTAGTAGTAGCAAAAAGGGAAGTCTAGTGCAGAAAAAAAAAAGGGACTTGCCCAAGAACACACAGCAGAAGAGCTAGGAATAAAATGGAAGCATGATGATGGTGATGATGATGATGATGATGATCGTTAGCTCATAATTTTATGATAATAAAAAATTAAAGATTTTTTTCCTCAACTTTAGGATCGATACTAAATTGGAAGAAGCCATTCTTGAGGCACTCAACATATGGAGAGTGGAAAAAGATCCCCCACTAAATCCTGCTGTATTGCGAGACCAACTTACAAGAATAATAACTATAATGGGGATACAACAACTAATTGAGAAAGTCACAGCTCTAAAGCTTTGTACCCAGTTATTCAAATTATAAACACTCTATAGAAATCAAATGATAGCTTATGAAACATTTGTCTCATTGGGCCTATAAATTTGAATATTTTCACTGTAACTTTATTTTAGAATGATGGAATTGTTATGAGCTGGTCTCTATCACAGCTGATGGCATAAATAATCATAATAAAATGCTGCGTGTGTTGTATTTGTTTATTTTTTTACTTGTTATGTTGATTGAAAAATTAGGGTGTTGGTTGTTTTTTAAAAATAATTGATTCAGTTGTGTTTTTAATAAACCTTTTGACACATGGGAAATTTTATTCATAACAAATGTCAATAAATCAACAGTCAAACTAAATATGGTATAGCTCTCAAAACCACTTCTACAGATTTGAAGATGCTACACTTGAGACACATACTGCCTGAAGATCCATTAATTAGGTACTGCTGCCAGTCATACAATCAAGGATGCAGAGTTGGGGGGGGAAGGTGGCTCATCTTAAATAAATGGAGGTAAGAATGTTAAGCCAGAAATTCTCTATCATAGTTTTAACAAAATAAAAACAATCCCAAAGGATCATTTGCCCTATGCTGTCTTATGATTCTCTCCTTATGTTATGGCACCATGAAAAGATAAATATGAAGAATATGAGAAAATATGAAAATATATGTAGTAACTGAGGCAAAGTAAAACAGAACCATAATAGCGCCCACATTGATCTATCTATCCACCCATACAGCTGTTTATAAAACCAAAGTTCATCTTGAATGAACTATTCTAGAATTTGTCCAGGAATCAAAGCTGGGAGGGAGAGCTACCCATTGAATGACAAGAGTCAAGATACAAAATCATCTTGTCAGGCTAGAACGTGGAGCTGAGTCTAATAAAAGGAAATTCAATAGGATTAATATAAAATCTTATACTTGGGCTCAAAAAATCAACTTCAGAAGAACAAATTGGGGGAGGCCTCGTTTGTGTGTTTGTCGGAGTGGCTTGAGGCTACATTAGAGGAGGCTACAATTTCCACATGAATTATCAGTGTGTCATGAAAAGTAATTGTAGGGAAGTACTTTTTATTCTGAATCTCTTGTACCCCTATACTTTAAAAATTGTGATAGATAGATATAATTCTAGCTCAGTGCCTCTTTTGGAGACAGCAAAGCGAAAAGGAGCAATCGCCCATCCACGGAGGTCCTGAAGCTTGGCTGTTCTCCTTCTAGATTGCTGACAGAATAGCCACATCCTTCCTCTTGTTCCTCCCAGCATTGAAAATGCAATCATTTCCTTTGAGGCCAGGATTGGGCTAGATATGATAGGGCAACTGGGGTCCTGACTAGCCCTGCTTCCTCGGGAGATTCATGCCACATATGGGCCTGTCTACTGGATGGAACCAGCCTCTAACCTGTGGGTGTCCAGAACCAAACACAGCAGGCTAGAGAGAAGAGTCAGGAATCAAATGGAAGTTTAATTTCAAAGTGAGGGAAACAGCTCGCAAACAAGGAAGTAAACTAGACACATGTTCCAAGGCCCTGACCCTAATGGGGAGGAACTGATTTAGTGGGGCTGAACCTCGATTTATATACTTGTGCCTAGACAGAGTCAAACAGTGTAGTGTAGCAGCAGTAATGAGGCACAACAGCAACAGTGAGGCAAGGTTGTCTAGTGATAAAAAGTCCCTTTCTAGTAGGGCTTCCTGTCTGGCCTGTTGGTGCTTGCCCAAGCTCAGCGACCATCAGTTCTGTGATTTAGTTGCAGCAGTGTATATCCTGAGGGTGAGCGCAAAGGACTGTTGCTATGAGAAGCTCAGGGCACAGCTAGCTTGCTGGGCCTTAGCTCTGGAAAACAGGGTGTCTCCTAATAGTATCTTGACAGGCCAAATAAATCTTTCCAGGAGCCAGCTACCCACAAGCACACACAGTACTTTACATAAGTTTTACATAAGCAGCAAGGTCTGATTACCCCCTGGAATTTATCTGGTTTGGGAGTCAGAGCTAATCTATATCTCTCTATTAGGACCATATTAGCAAAGAGGCTACAGCAACATGTTAAAAGGATTATATACCATGACCAGGTTTTATTTATACCAAGAATGCAGAGTTGGTTTAATATGAGGAAAACCATAAATTGAATAAATCATTTTATTAATAGATGTTGAAAAGACTTGATAAAGTTCAATACTCATTTCTATAAAAAAAATAAACAACAACATAGTAAATATGGGGCTAAATGGACTTCTCTTTTTTTTTTTTAAGGCAATTGGAGTTAAGTGACTTGCCCAGGGTCACACAGCTAGTAAGTGTCAAGTGTTTGGTCTGAGGCTGGATTTGAACTCGGGTCCTCCTGACTTCAGGGCCAGTGCTCTATCCACTGCATCACCTAGCTGCCCCTGGACTTCTCCTTATTAAAGAAAGCAGCGTCTATCTAAAACCAAGAGCAAACATTCCTCATTAAAAAGAAAAGTTAGGAGACTTTCCAAAGGGTTAGGAGTAAAGCAAAGATGTCCATTTTCACTACTGTTACTTAATATAGTGCTAAAAACGATAGCTATAGAGATAAGACAAGAAAGAGAAACTGAAGGAATAAACGTAGGAAAGAGAAAGCAAAACTATCCCTTTTTGCAGATGATATGACGGTCAATCTAGAGAATCCTAGACAAGCAATAGAAATTAATTAAAACGACTAACATTCAACAAAGTTTTGGAATGTAAAATCAATAATCAGCATCCCTGTACATTACCAACAAAACCCAGGAGGAAGAGCTATGAAGATAAAATCTACTCAAAATATCTATGAATATTTGAAATTCAAAAAAATTCAAAATAATATGAAATATTTAGTAGTCTACCAAGATACTCAGGAAGTATGTGAATGCAACCCCAAAAACATTTTGCAGAAATAAAATTGCAGAGATGAGCGACTACAGAGATAAGAGAGTGCAGGCAACTGTAAGAATCAGCGAATGCTTCACAGAGTTTGGGTTCAAATCCTGACTCTGCTACTCAATATGTATGTGCACACAACTATTGGACAAGTTAATTAGCCTCCTGGGACCTTCAGTTTCTTTATCACTAAAATTACACAGTTGAATTCGGTGGTCTCTAAGGGCCCTTCCCAGCTCTGAAACAATGATTCTTGATCTGTTTCGGGTGGCTTGCTGAAGCCTTCAGGTCTGCCTGGGAGGTAGAATGAGAAGGTAAGAAGAGAGGGAGGGAAGAGGTAATGAGAAGACGCACAGTGGGCTAGCAAGGGAAGAAGTGAAGAGAGCATGTTCTCTGCCGGGCAGAAGCTGGAAATGAAACCAGAGCCACCAAACTGGAGAGATTTGGGGCCATCCATCCCCATGCAGGTTGGCTGGCTCTATTAAGCAAAACCCTCAGACTGATGCTGTGATCACTGTCAAACTCATTTTCCTTAAGTGCATATCTGACCATATCATCATCTCATTCAATCAACTCCACTGATTCTCTGTTACCTCCAGCATGAAATACCAAATCCTGTTTGGCTTTTACAGGCCTTCATTACTTGGTCCCTTCCTACCTTCTCAAACTTTTTTCCACCTTACTATCACCTGTGTACTCCAAGATCCATTTCCTAAATCCAAGCGTTTTCCCTGCCTGCCTCTGATGCCTGGAACACTCTCCCGCCTCATCTCTGCCTCCTGGCTTCCCTGGCTTCCTTCGAATCTCAGCTAACATCCCATCTTCTGCAAGAAGCTTTACCCAGTCCTACTTAATCTTAGTGCCTTGTTTTTGATATCATCTCCAGTTTATCCTGTGTATATTGTCTTTATCCACAATTGCTTGCAGCAGTTTGTCTCCTCTGTTATTAAGCTGTTATCTCCTTGAGAGTGGGGACTTTTTTTTTTTTTTTTTGCCTTTCTCTGCATCCCTAGTGCTTAGCATGGTGCCTGTTACACAGCAGGTGCTTAATAAATGCTTGACTGACTGATAGAGACTGAACTTCTAGTTAGTGGAACTAACTAGATTTTTAATTCTGCTTCTGATATTTTTAATGGCTGTGTCACTGTGGGAAAAAATCATTTAGCCCCTGATTTTGTTCAATTTTATCAACCACAAGATGGAAAAATAAATACTTGTACTTAAGATGCTTTCATTAGGATAATTGGGTCTGTCTGCCCTGCTGCCCCCACCCGTGGTCCCCCAGAACCTTTCCATCTGCCCTGCAGCTCCACTCTTCTATATGTGTTGTCTCCTTCAGTTAGAGGGAAGGGACTGTCTCACTTTTCTGTTTGCATCCCGGTTACAAGTAGCATATTTGGTGGTATTCTGTTTCAGTCAGGTCTGACTCTGTGACCCCATTTTGGGATTTTCTTGGCAAAAATACTGAAGTGGTTTGCCATTTCCTTCTGAGCTCATTTTTCAGAGGAGAAAACTGAGGCAAGCAGGGTGGAATGACTTGCCCAGGGTCACGCACAGCTATTTAAGTGTCTGAGGCTGGATTTGAATTTAGGAGCCCAGTGCTCCATCCACTGCTCTACCTAGTTGCCCTAAGTAGTACATAGTAAGTATTTAATAGATTTTTTTTTCCTTTCAATTACTATGTGTCAGATATGATGATAGGCACTTGTGCCGGCTGCGCCGTGCACTCTCCTCCTATAAGGAGCAGGATGCCAGAGTCATACTACTTACCAGTCTTCGGAGCCTACCCGGATAAACACACAGAGACGAGCCGACCAGGAGGTGCCAACACCCGAGCTTTATTCAGAGGCCATCACAGCAAGGCCAAGCAGGAAGGCCAGAGCAAGAGAGCAGGAGCAAAGAGAGAGCGAGCTCCGACCACTACTGTCCCTTAAGTACCTACTTAGCCCCTCCTCCTCAGCCCGCCTACTAGTCATTGATTGTAGGATCAGATACCGGAAGGGGATGTCTGGGTTTAGCGCACCAAGGGAGAGGAAGTGACGCAGGAGGCTAGGACCGGATACAGGAGTCCGGGTTAGAGCTGTACCTAGGGAGAGGACGTGACCCAGGAAGTCAGGCCCAGATACCGGGAGGAGGCGTCTGGGGTCAGTACTACACAAAGGGAAAGTACGTGACCCAGGAAGTCAGGAAGGACACAGGAAGGAGGCGTCTGGGGTTGACGTTGCACCTAGGGAAGAGGACTAGACAAAGGAACTCGTTCTCTGCCGTCCCACTCCCACGTGGC